GATTTCCAGCAGTGCGAACGGCTCTATACTCACTCGATAATCATTCGTTGCTCAACTGCTCAGATATTTTTTAAACTTTTAAATTTCAAAAGTCGTTCATCAAAATTTCTTTAGTACCTCAATGAGTTTTACACTTTACATCAGTACATTTTGAGGAAAAAGTCAAAAATTTTATTCAAGTACTCGATTGTATCCAAGTTCTCAACTCTTAATTTAACGGTGAGCTCTCGGTTAGCTTAGATTAGAAACACTAACTAACTTTCTAAAAGTTGTTGCTAGCGACATAGAGATTAGACACAAGATTGCTTATATAACAGTCAATGGTGAGTTATTGACGTCACTCACATGCCTTCAAATTTAGTTTGGTTGAGAACAGGTTATATGCTTTGAAGATCCAGTAAAGATCTTAATCTGTAAGTGCCCGGCGTTTTGTTGACAAAAGCTTATCTTACTTGGTGAGAAAAGGCTCCAGAAAACTTCAATAATCAATAGCTAAAGTACCAGAGTAGATACTTCAACTTACCATGAGAATATTAGTGCTCCCTAAACTAGAGACACAGTAAGAAGCGGGCATCTCAAAGTTTGTCAGTCGCATACAGTGAAGCACCATGCGCGCTGTACATGAGACTCCACAAGTGGTCGATTAGTAGAACCTGACGTAAAGATATATATTACACATACGAACATCCAGAAAAAGTAAGAAAAATTTGAGGCAGATATGCTAATCGAAGGAAGTTGTGGGAAAATAATTACTCCTATTTTAAGTCTATGGTACAGGTTTCTAGTTTTAAAAAAGAGAGGTAATTTTCTTCCATTGAAGACACTTTGAGTCAGACAAATATTTCGAGAGCAAGTCGAGCACAAGAAATTAAACAAAGTCGATCTTGACGCCCCAGCATATCAACAACCTAGAGTAATATTTAGAGAGTGAATCGAGAGTTATCGACCGTCTTCTAAGAAGTTGTCGAGGATGGCGGCATAAAAATTTAATTCTTTTAAGAAAAAACCAATAAGACGCTATGGTATTGTTAAATGAAATCAATAAGTATCCTGGTTTGGTTAAAATTCTAATAAATTGTGACTAATCATGCTTATGACATCGAAACCAAAGCCCAAACAGCCCAATTAACAAACCGAACTGACGACTTATCGCTGTTCCCACTCATTAAAAACACAATGTTTTACGACGATTGAGGAGATGAAAACCGAATTGCTGAATTACCTCAGGGATAAAAAATGAGTACCAGAGCAGCTTTAATGCTGTAACTACCCATCTCGCACGCCTTCGGTTCATAGCAACCTCTGTTATGAGAGCATCAAGCAAATCAAAAGTTGTCATCGCTTGTCGTTGTTGTTACCAAAGGTTTAGCAGCGTCGATAACTCGTGTATGCATATCTCTCTTCCAGTCGGGTGTTACGGCTGTGAGGTATGTAAAATGGGTGATTGCAGCATAAGAACTCGAAAAAACGCCGACACAAGCGACTTATGACTGAGAGGGAGCGCGTTCCAAGGGAATAAATTAGAAATTTATCAATAAATATACATACATATATACATTTATATATATATATGTATATATAGTTTTTTTTTTTTGAGAAAAAGAAATATTTGCCTTATTTTTCAAGGAACTTGGTTGAGAGAAAATGGTTGTGATAAATCAGTTAAACAATTTTTTAAAAATTCATCTAATAAATATTATAAGTTTTTATTTCTATATACATATGTAAATACATTTAATTTTTATTCAACTATTTTGTGGAAAATTAAAAAAAAATATATACATTTAATTCATTGTCATTTAAATTACAAAAAAATATATAAAAAATACATTTTTCAAATATTTCAAAACAAAAGACGGTGATAAATAAATAAATAAACACAGAGCTTCATACAATTATTCCACACAAAAAGAAATAAACTTTTCTAAATATACTCACATACATATGTATTTGTATAAATGTGCAATAGACCGTCTTGAAGACCCCTCAAATCGTACAAAAATAACTTTTTTTTAATTGCCTCACCCACTTTTCGCCCGAGTAAAAAATACACAACTTTAAATTGGCTGCTTTGCTCTACACCGCCCAACGATCACTTGTTTGCATAGCAGACACACGTACATACATACATATTTACATATATTTAGTGTTACATGTGCTTAGATGCTTACTTATGGACGTTTAAAAATATGTACATATGTATGTACACATCAACTTGTGTAAATATGCTTGTAAATACATACATACATACATATTACATTTATGTATGTACATATGTACGTTGTATTTATGTAAATATAGATTGGCTTACATCTTTCTTGCCTTTGTTGTGGTTTTCTGTGGTCTCTTTTCTGACAGCTCGAAAATTTATTTTCGACGATTTGCTTGTATGGAATGTTGTTGTCATCCATTTAGTATTTTATATTTTACATCTCAACGATTTTTGTTTGAAAGATTTTGTATTATTATTTTTTTTTTTTGGAATTTTTTTTGTTTTTTATTTTTTATTTTTTTATTTTTTTTGCTGAGTTTAAGTGTCTGTTTTTTATTAGCTGTTTAGCCGCAGCTTTCGAATATTAATATGTTTTTAAATATTACGATTTCAAATTATAGGGAAACATATGTAAGTACACACATACATGCATACAAACATACATACATTAAATGAAGCGCACACTTGTTGCCACAAAATCGCGCATACTTTAATATGTGAATGTATAAATACGTATGTAAAAATGTGTATTACAAAAGTTGATGGGTGAGTTTGTACATTAAAAAAAATTTAATTTATTTAAATATTGTTCATATGTCAATTAGAAAACTACGAAAGGGTGGATCTCGACGATGAAAGGCGTCATTTAATTATTTAATTTTTTTTTAATTTTTTTTCGTTCAAATTCCATTGCAAAATCATTAAATAGCAAAACATCAATCACTCCAACAACAAACTCATTCACCAACCGATCTAGAAAAAAATCATATTCAATCCGCTGAAGGTAGCGAAGTGTAGAAAACATATCCGATACTCGTTTATACCAAAGCATGTGCAAACAAACATACCTACACATATACATATGAACATACATAAGCATATTTACACAGTTTTCTATGTATATACACATGTAACTGTGTCTGTTCTTGTAAAGTAGACGCCGTCACCGCCTTTTTACCTGCCTTGCGATAGTGTCTAATTAAATGCCAAGATACCAACTTGTTAGCAGATGAAATATGCATGCAACCGAAAAAACCAGCTGACCGAGCCAGGCAGCAAAATGCCGCAACAACATTAGCAGCAGCAGCAGCTCTCCATCATCAATCGATACAAAAACGTTTGTCAGACAAAAATAAGAAAAAATCTCATTGCGTAGAGAGAGTAGGCAATAAACGTGTGAGAGAAACGCGATCTCTCTCAGCACTCAACTACTCAATAGAGCGCTGCAATGAGTACATGAGTCAACGAAATAAACATCTCAATAAAGTATCTTTCAGCCATAAATGTGGAATAAAAAACAACTGACTTTCATCTGAAAAAATATTTTGTTGTTTAAAACAAACTGAGTAGCTTTCTGAGTGCTTCCAGTAAAGAGCTATTGAGTACTTCTCCACTTTATCTGTGTTATTAATTTGCTGTTATGAGTGCTTATCTTTCAGACAAATTATCTACAATTGTGTGAGAATGAGTTGCCTAGTATCATTGATCAGTGAGAGGAATTATCTCACAGGGAATTATTACTCTAACTATCTATCTCTGAAGTGAGTATTCTTTTGAGTTATATTTGTTTACAAAATATTTATTTAACAGTCTATAAAATCAGCTAAAACTGAGTAAATGAGCAATTGATGATGTCTGTGCGGTTTTTGAGTAGCTCAATTTAGATATAGTGTAAATTATAATGTTTTATTTTATCTATACTCAAAGCGAATTATTTGTGCTGAGTGCAAGGTATTGAGCTTCATATTGAGGAGCCGATATAACACTCAGTGAGGGTAAATCAAAAATGAGCAGTCAATTCGAGTTGTAGCGAATTAACCAAATGAAATTTCCTTTAAAAATAAATCTGAGTAGATTCAAATTTTTTTCCCAAAAAAATAACATAAAATAACATCAAATACAAATATGTATGTATGGACGTGGGTATATAAAAATAAAAAAATAAAAACTACAATTTAGAAAATAAAAATTTAAGATTAAATAAAATATAAAATATAAAATATAAAATATAAAATATAAAATATAAAATATAAAATATAAAATATAAAATATAAAATATAAAATATAAAATATAAAATTTTATTTATAAAATACAAAATCTAAAATATAAAATATAAAATATAAAATATAAAATATAAAACACAAAATATAAAATATAAAACACAAAATATAAAATATAAAAATTAAATTATATAAAAATTAAAATTAAAACGAAATTTAAATTTAAAATCTAATATGATTTAATTTTTAATAAATTATGAAATAAAAAAGAAAAACTAAAATAAAAATAAAACAAAAATAAGGTAATATATAATGATACAAAAATTAAAGTGAATGAGATTAATAATAACAATATTTTAATGTAATAAATATACATGTGAAAAAAAAAACAAATCAATAGTACAAATAAAAATAAATAATACAACACGAATAAATAATTGGATAAATTAAAAATTTATTTTGATAAATAGAATTAAAAATTAAAATCAAAATTAAAATTATTAATTAAATTATGAAGGCAAGAAAGTAAAATTTAAATAAGTATAGAAGTGTAGTAAAATAAAATATAAAATTAACAGTAAACTGAATATAAATCAATAATAAATTATAAATAAAACAACTCAGTTCCTGTCGAAAATCCAGTATTTCTATCAACCATATTTGTTTCACGAATTTTCAAAAATGAAGGCAAAATATTTTTATTCTGTTTATTACTTCAATATACAACAAATACATATTTTCCTAAATTTTAAGTAAATAACATTAAATTCGCTCGCCTTCTCAACCAATGAAGGCCAATCAAACGCCACTACCCCAGCTGATACAAGCCGAGAAGCAGGCGGCTGATATAATTTTCGAAGCTCGAAAACGCAAACGTTTACTTTTGAATAGAGCCAAGAATGTAGCAGTTAAAGAAGTGGAAACTTATCATGGCGAACGTGAGGTTATACTAAATGCACTTAATGAAAGTGTACAAGAATCCATTGGGATAACACAGCGTAGAGTCGAGCAAGCAACAAAGGAAAAAATTGCTAAAATTGATGCGCAAGTGGAAACAAATCGTGAAGCTGTGGTCAAAATGATATTGAAATTGATGAACGATTTTGTGCCGGAAGTGCATAGAAATTATCTATTTTTAAAGGATCAAAAGCAAAAGTAGCCAGAGGCTTTTAGTGCACAATTTTCGTTAAATAAAATTGGAAAATCTAAGGAAATAAGTGAACGTTTATTTTCTATGAGATTGAAAGGGAAGAATTTGCTGGTGTCTATATAAATATCATTTGTTGGAGCTATAAAGCATGCATGTTTTTGCGAGCTTGTGCGTCATCTCGCGCTTATTTCCCCTCTCGTTACTTGGTTTCTGAGAAGTCAGCTTGACTAAATTCATTTTTCGTTGCTTGGTTTAGTTTTTGGCTCCAACATCAAAGATGAATCAACTTACGCCAGAGCTGGTTGAGCATCCAAAACTAAGGTTTTCATTGGAAGCACGCACCTCTCCCAATTATATCTCCTACCAGAAGCTTATATTGCATCATCTACCTCATCTTTAGTGGGTGCGGACTACCAACAGTTCTAATTTTTCAAGTTTTTGTTATCAAATAAATAAAATAAATTACTTTGCATTAACTGTTTGCATAAATTAATGATTATTAATTTGGAATTTCTATGCAGATTATAACATTATTACCAAAACCACTGCCCACACTCCACCGCCTCGCCTGCTGAGAGTCACCGAGCGCAATGCAGGCGACTTTGCCGAAAATGAAAAGCAATAAAATTTGCATTTAACATGCAGTTTTTCGAATAAAATTAACATTCGCCCATTAAAGTTGTCACAAAGAATAATAGCAGTAAACAAAACATGAAAAAATGAACTGAAACATATAAATAAGCAATAATCATCATTCAATATTTCAATAAAAGAGAAGCGGCAACAGTTGCCAAAAAAAATTAAAGCGATATTTTTAATTAGGCATGCGTACGCCACGACATACGTACATACATGTTACGCAAACGAGTTCCACGAATATCAAAAAAAAAATCAAAACTAAAATAATAACTAAAGCGATGAAAGCTTTACCGCTAAATTCACCAAGTAAGGCTGAGAACGCTGGTGATTCGTCGATGCGGTAATGCCAAAAACAAAATTAAGTTTGATCGAGTTTCGAGACAAAATTAATAAATAACACTCATTTTCATAAAACAACGACAAAATGTCAAGAAATTAACTTAATGAAAGGCTTGTGTGCGCAAACAGAAATTGTTAGGCAATGGCTTTGTCATACTTTGTATAAGAATACCAAGAATGTGAGAATTGAAAAAAAAGTCTGAAAAATCACACAAAAAATGTCGATCATTAGAAAACATGAAAAAATTTGCATACACCAAAATTAAAAAAAAAAAAATAAACAAAAAATTATAAAAAGATTAAAAAGAATTTGTTTACCCACAAACTGTATGATCAATAAATAATCATAAAAGTGGCAAGTAGTTTTGAAGCAGAATAGGGTTTCTTGCGTTAATGTATGCGGTGTATTGGAATGGTTTCTATTATATATTGTATAAAGCAACTATTGGAGACCATGAAAAGCATTTTTTATGCTCTTTTTTGTGAAAGAACCGCTTTTTGACAAATTTTTCAAGCCTATGAATTTATAACAAATAACTTTATCTGCAATATGTATAGGTTTGTTGTTAAACAAAACCATTGTTTGTCATAAATTATAACGATAAAGTCATAAAAGCGAGATTTGCATGAAATTTCGAAAATATTAAGATATTTATTTTTTATATAAAAAGTAGTATTTTTTATACAAATTTAATATAAATATTTTGCAAAAAAGATTTTGTCAATACCTGTTGATAAATTTTGAATTCTTTAAAAAAAGAGTTTTTATAAAAAAAAAATCAGCTGGTCATGAGCTCAGCATGCAAACTAAGCATGAAGAAGAGTATTTGAAAAAAGTTAATAATTTTTAGCCCAACTACTTAACAATGAAAAAGAATAAAGAAATTTAGAAAATGGTTTGAATATGGTTTGAAAATGGTTCGTCATGATGTTCCAGATCCCACACCGTACCATTTCGATATATGTATATATAAAAGTCACTTTGTAACCGTTAAAGCGCTGATGTTTTTTCAGAAAGGGAAGGGGAAAGAGGGCCCTGCAGTTTATTTGGCGCCTCCGAACGGCCTATGGATTTTTATGAGGAGGGTATAAATCATTTATTTTATATAATTTTCTATAATTTTGCATGTTCGAACCATGAACCAAACCCTCTTTGCTAACCCATCAAAAGATAAGAGAGTTGAATTGGAAAGTGATAACAAACCTATAAACCTAACTTCTCACCATCAGTATATCTTTTGTTGAGCTTGTTGAAATCACTTCAACGGTAAAGTTTTCCTGTACGACTCTTAAAAAATTTGCTCTTCTTCGAAGTTTCGAATTTTTTCAATTTACGGAAAAATCGCTTTTTTATAAAAAGTATAACAATTTTGTTTTTAAATATTATTATAATTGTAACGATTTTCGAGCTCCTCCTCAAATTCGTGGTTTTGCGTCTTGATGTTTTTCCCACAAATGGAGGGACCTACAGTTTATACTAAGCCGCCTCCGAATGGCTGATGGTTTTTCTATGACGAACATCATTTCATGTCAGAAATACACTCGGAGGGGTTGACATTCCCTGCCGAGGGCCGACCGCAATTAGAAAATATAAATAATATGGGAACAAATTATTGTAGTCTTATCTTTTGAGAAATCAGGATAGAAGAGAATTGTCACATTTTTTTAGGTTTTCATGGTATAAAAGGCAAACTATGAGTTTTGAGACCTTAGAGTCGATAGAGAGGGAAATGTAAACAAATTCAGACTTATAATGTAATATCTGAGGTTGAAACGGTTTTCAATGAGCATTATATAATGTGGCGGACAGCGCACAATCCATATTAAAAGTTTAGGAGAGACCTCTCCATAGAAATATATATAAAGACTAGGAGGGATAATCTAAAAGTGGTACCGATACGCCCTACTGATCACCTGATTTGGGACCTCTTATTTGCGTAACATTTATTCGCAGCCTTACCTAAGGGCGGCTCATTATCCGCAAGCTGTCGTCTATCTGGTAGATTGTAGCTAACCTCGCAATACTCTCTTAAATTCCGCAGAGCAAGGAACAAGACGCTTAATGTACCCGTGAGCAGATACGCTTTCAATAGAAAGAGTTAGTTTGAAGAGAAGATATTGTGCCTGGTGTAACAAATTTGCGGTGGGTTGGCCGTAAACGTTTTGTAATGGAAACCTTAGTAAGAAAGTAAACGGAAACGACTACGCTGTCTGGGTCATATAGCTCGCTGTAGAAAGAGAGGAGGAACTCCAGATTAGCGCTGACTTATGTCAAGGTTATTGGTTGATTTAAGCTTTCAAAGTTAACTCTGAATTCGTAAATTTATGAGCCATGTAGACCTGGAGCCTTACCAGGTAGAAGGTTTACCATTGAATAGATTAGTAGACCGCAAACTTTTTCTATAAGAAATTATGCACGGTAATTTGTCATCTTACGTTGGTTCCAGTGTCCCGATAGATTTCGATTTCTGTGCCATTACTACATCTCTTTATTCCACTCAGTTTCTTAAAAGTGAACTTTTTTTCATTGCCGCGCTACTCTCTTCCTTCTTTCTCTCACATATTCTAACGTATTGAATCTTCCTACGATTACTTTTAATATCAGCAACGACTCGCCTCGATCATTTTAAACGAGTAGGTACTAGCATCGAGCACATAGGGAGCTACTTATTCGTTACTTATTCATTGAAATTTTTAATATTTTTGAAAGGTATTTTAAATTTAATTAAACAGAATTAAACGAAATAACAAGGTACGGAGAATAATTTTAAAATATCAAAATATTAGTCAGCAAAAGTGTTCCAGCATAGGAAAAGTAGGCAAGTTCTCGTGGTGGAAGCGTACAGATTGTTCCCAAAAGTGTGAAGATAATCTTGAACACTACGTTACAATTTTTTTAATCCATTGAAATTTGAGTCAAATACGAATAGCAAACATTAAAAGCAAATAATTACTTAAATAAATGTTAATTTTTTTGTTACATACTGGTACATATGTAACGAAATTATAGCACCGTGTGAGACTCCAAATTTAATGTGATCCCAATGCTGTTTTTATTTTTGAAAATAAAATTTTTTTTTACGCCACAAAAGCACTTCGAGTAATTAGAATAACAAGTAGAGAATTAAATGAAAATAAAAATGCAATGAAATATAATATAAATTGTAAATATGCATTGACAAGTGTAGAAATATATATAAAAAAATATACAAACACTCCTATAAATAATTATGTCTATTGTTTCACACTTCAAAGTTGCAATAAAATTGATTTTATTGCAACATAAATTGACACAAATGACAAAAATGTTTAACAATTAACGACGCTCTTTTGAATTTCCATTCGAAAATATAAAAGAATGAAAAAAATAGTAAAACATTCAGCAAGAAAGTTGGTAAGAAAGTTTGGAAAAATATCCAAAAATCCGAATTACTTTTTTATACAGAATTATCCATTTTGCGGTTTCGAAAATAAAATGTATTTAAAATATTTTTTTTTTTTTTTTGTAAGTTCGTATTTTAATTATAAAGTTTGAACCTTGACATTTGATTTGAAGCTCCACACCACTCTAATGCCCGCCTCGCTAATTTTCGAACACTTTTTTCGACACAATTTTCGACCACTTTTGTATGGCGGTATCCCCATAACTTGTCGCATTTTGGCTTTCAAGTGTTCAAGAGTGAAAGGCTTATCTGCATAAACACGTTCTCTTACATTCAGTTTAAGCTCCATAAAAAAAAGTCCAACGGTGTGGAATCGCATGATCTCAGTGGCGTCATGGCGAGAGACTACGCGGCCGGGAAATTTCTCTTGCAGTAAAGCCATTTCACTCGCGCTGAGTAGCATGTGGCACCATCTAGTTGGAAACATTTCTTCAATTGAGGGCCAAAAAAAAGTTGGTTCTCATACGAGCATAACGCTTAGGAATGACGGTGACAGTGCTGTCGTTGCCGTCTTCCAAAGAGTAAGATCCAATCACGCCTCCGGACCGAAGAGCGCACCAAACAGTAATTCTTGATTCTATACAACAT